CCCCAAAACCCCAAAACCCCAAAACCCCAAAACCCCTAATAGTTTTACATTAGTGGATAGTTATTAAATAAAGATGTTTAGTAACAAGTTATCAGACTTAGATGATTTCTTGGCACCAGCTCAAGACTGAGTGGTCCAACTCCAACAAGATAAGGATATGGTAGAAAACAAAGCTAGCTTGAAGATCGAACTAGAGTCTGATTGGAGAGATCCAGATGAAGGCTCTGATGTAAGGCCTGATCTTATCAAGAAAAATCAGAAGAATGTTGCTAAAATTAGTCTTACAGACTGCCTTGCATGTAGTGGATGAGTAACTACAGCTGAGACTATGTTAATACAACAACACAGTATAGATAAAGTTGAAGAATTACTCAAAAATGTAGATAAGGAGCCATGAGTAGTCTCAGTTTCTCAACAATCCCTGTATTCTCTCTGTGCCCTATACGAAACAGAGCCAAAGCTTCTTTTTAAAGTGATTAACAAAGTGCTTGGAACTTTCGGTGTGTCAAAAGTGTATGATTTCTCTCTATCCACTCAATTTATCCTTAATGAGAGTTACAATGAATTCTTGGAGAGATATAAAAACTCAGAGAAATATCAAAAAGTTAAAGAGTGTTTAGAAATCCTTAAATCAAAGCCAGGAAAAGAGGAAGGTAAAACTACACCAGAAAGAGAAGAAGAGCTTAAGTCGATGAAAAAGATGCTGACGAAACAACCCTCAACCCCTGTGCTTTGTAGTGAATGCCCAGGATGGGTTTGTTATGCTGAAAAAGTTGTGGGTGATGTCTCTATCCCATTTATGAGTGAAATAAAATCTCCTCAACAGATACAAGGAAATTTGATAAAAACTCAAGCAAACAGGAAGCTATTCCAAGCAGATCCTGATCAGGAAGCTCCTGAGAAGGTAGTCCATATCTGTGTCATGCCATGCTACGATAAAAAGTTGGAAGCTGTTAGACCTGCTGGAGTAATCAACAACATCAATGATATTGCTGATGAAAAACTTGGAGTAGAAGTAGACGCTGTCATTGCTACTCATGAGCTTGCTGATCTCTTCCAAAAGAGAGGGATAGACATCAAACAACTTCTCGAGGAGGAGAAAAAAGAGGAATCCAAAATCATTCAAAATTTTGAGAAAGATATATGAGAACTTGATAGAGAAATTACCGAATCTCCATTTTATAGCGGATATGTTCAGAAGCAAAGCTCAAATGGTTATAGTGAATATATCTTCATAAGAGCTGCCAAGGAATTATATGGAGTTGACCTTACATCTGATGACCTTGCCTACAAGCAAGTGAGAAACAAAGACTTTCAAGAAGTGGTATTGGAAGTAATGGGGCTTCCTGTCATGAAATTTGCATTAGCTTATGGGTTTAGAAATATTCAAAATATTGTCAGAAATATTAAAAGAAAGAAATCAGTTTATGATTATGTCGAAATAATGGCATGTCCAGGAGGATGTCTAAATGGAGGAGGGCAGATTAAGCCAAAGGATCTTGGGCTTACCCCAATTGAACTTTTACATAATTTAATCGAGATCCAAAAGCAATCCTTGGAACTAATTGATTTGGAAAATGTTCCGGGAATGATTTCTCTGTATCATGACATAGACAGTGAGCAGGTCAAGGAAATGATAAAGACAGAATTTACCCCTATTAAAACGGAGGCCTCTGTTGCTAACCTTAAGTGGTAACTTCTAGAAATAATTTCAATCCTAGAATACTTTAATGGGGTTTTGGGGTTTTGGGGTTTTGGGGTTTTGGGG